GTAGTAAAAACAACTCTTGCCTAACCCAAGTAAAACCAAAGTAATTTGCTCCATGTGATGCTTCTGTTTTTTCACAGGTGGGAAAATCACAAGTGCTCAGTCTGCCCTCCACACTCTCTCCACATCTTCGTCATCAGTAACGTTGCTCTTGGCATTGGTGATTCCTTCAACCTCCTGGTGAAAACTGCTGACTTAATTTGCTTTTCTTTGCTTTAGCTTGATAACAGCGGTGAATAGAGTATAGTATAGGTGGAGACCCGGGATCCTGAGAGGAGCTTGAGCTTTAAAAACTTGGGGACTACACGTGGTGCACTTACAGGAGGTTGGGGGAGGGGAATGTTGCTTATCCATCAGGTTTCTCTTTGATTTTGTAAATGGAGAGGACAGTTCTTGGTCCAATAAAAATATGCAGATTGTATGTAATGAATTTTTGTAAGCAAAGGTAATTTCTGTCAAATGTATTCTTTACTTTTTTAATATGTTGGAATTTCATTTTATATTCTGATGACCCCCGAGTGTGTGCCATCCATTTGTTAAGTAAGTGGTCTTTTGCAGGTCTTTCAAAAACAAATACAAAACCGAGAATGAAAATTTGCTTAAGCCTACGTCCAGTGTTTTTCATTTTCCTTTTAGCTGATTATTCCAATTTCCAAACCAGCAGGAGATATGAAAAATACTTCGGTTATGTGGTTCATTGTAGGATAAGTACACAAGAATTTTCTTGGAAAATATTGTATGATTGCATAGTGAAATAGCAAGATTTGTCAATATGCTATTCTATATGCACCCCCAGAGCAAGTTATTAGAATAGGGAATAAGCCATTTACAAATATTAGTGCGAGGCAAGTAGAAAGTAAGTCCAGATGAATTTAAGTGCTATTGTTTTTCATAAAGTACTATGTTATCTATCAGCAAATAAAGTAAATGTTTATTTTTAATAACAAAAGATAGTTTAAAGTCACCAAAAATATATGATCACTAAAAACTGCAGACATGCTGCCCATGGGTGCTAACTTAAAAATAAAATGAATATAGGACAAGCTTTACCATTTCTCCACCTACTACCAAGACAGATGTTGAATTAGTTCCAAGGTTTTCTTCTAATTGCAAAAATGTTAAGGACAATGAAAATTTGTTGTGCAAATAATTATGCATAGTCTATGGATTAAAATGGTTGAAGCATAACAAATAAATTTTGATTTTTAAAAACAGTTCCATGCATCACATACCACTTATAAAATATTATTAACTACCAAAATAAAGATCTCTCTTGGATAAACAGATTTTTTAAAATTAAGCTATAGAAATACGGCATCAGTACAGGGACTCAGCTAGTCTAGCCAGTCATGCACTGCTTGATTCTGTGGCTTGAGAGGTGATCCCATTTGCTATTTTGAGGAATCAGCTTGAACCTAAATGATCCTAGGTAATTGTTGGAAAGTGAGGTAAGAGTTTTCTACTTGATGATACCCTACAGAAATTCTAACAAACATGAGAATATGCCAGAGTTGGCATTGCACCCATGAAGATGTCTGAAAAGATAGTTATTGAGAAGTTATATTCCAGAAAAGAGCCTGGAGAAACTACAGTTTTACAGGTGATGTTAATGAGAATAAAAAGTAGTTTCTTTTCTTTTATATAATCTAACCTGTTAATCTTATTTGCATCTTTAATAGCAAGAAAAATGAAGCAATATCGAGCTCAAATTTCTAGCTCTAGAGGTAAATCCCTATAGAATAAGAGACAAGATTGAACTTTCTGTTCTGAACATTCTAAAAGATTAGTTTCAGAGCCACAGTAAAACTCTGTATGTCAGTTACTCATTCTGTTTGGGGGAAATTATGTCCAAGACATTACTAAACAAATCAGAAGTTATTTAAAAGATTCAGTCAGCCTATTATTCTAGTAAATACTACAGATGGTAAATGTTTAAGCCTGTGAATAATAATGACCAAGCGGCCTTTCTTGAATATCTCCTTTGGAGAGGGAGAGGCTGGACTTCCCAAGAAGAGGGATGCCAACTAGCTGACAAAGCATGAGCTTTCCCAAGTATGTTGTAACTTGCAAGAATAAATTGTGCATCTGAAAAAGAATGCAGAAAAAATATTTAA